AGAAGCCTGCTTGGCCTGGGGCCGGGCTGCCTGCCATTCAGCCCTGTCAGAACCCGGGGATGAACCTGGGAAGGGCATGCAGACAGGTCCTGTGTGTAAGATCTTGGACTGATTTCAGACCCAAGCTCACTCACTGACTGTGTGACCTTGGGCAAACAGCCTGACCTCTCTGGACCTGTCTTCTCTTGGTAAACAGCAGGGGGAGAAAGCATGGGACAATGTGGGCCCTGGGAACAGAGGACTGATCATTGCCACTCTGAGCAGTTAGCTCTCCGTGGTGGGAGAAGAGGCAGGGCTGGGTCCTGCTGTGGCTGCGTGACTGAATACTTGAGTGATTGCTAAGCACCCCTAGGTGCTCAGTACTAGCCCAACCACCTCATGGGACCCATGCAGCCCCGAAACATGGATATTGTCGAGCCCTTGTTAAAGGAGAGGCGAGGAGGTTCCAAAAGGAAGGGCCTGTCAGGTCACACAGCCTGGAACAAGGGGTGGGATTTTAAGCCGAACTTCATCCAGGAAGCCGGAACATTCTGGGAGGGAGGACAGTGGAGTACACTTTTCCAAGAATCCTCAGGTCTGAGCTTCTAGCTCTTGGGACACCTGGTTCCAGGTTAACCCAGAGATCAATGTAGCTGAGGCTAGCTTGAAGTCCCGGAATTACAGGATTTATTGTTGTTGCTGCTGCTGTTATCCTCTCCTTTTCTGAACTGAAGGCACAGTAAGGGTTTAACAAAGACCCAGAATCATATCCTTGCAAGGTCCTGATTCTAGAACGCTCTCAGTAAGCGTCCGGAAGGGATCAGAAAGACAGGGCTTCTTCATGGCTGTCCTGTACGACAACACAGGCTCACTGAAGAAGGAGCGCTCAGGGTTTCCAGGGGGACGGAAGGGACTCAGCTTTGGTATCAGAGAAGCAGGTCACCTGGACACCGAGGGCGGTTCGAGGAAAGGCACGTGGGGCAGGAGTGCCTACCTACAGGCAGTTTTGCTACTCAGTGTCAGCAGACCTGCAAGAGAGGATAAGAAACTGACCTAGGCCCTGGGGTGAGGGTGCGGGGCTGAACCACTGGCCAGGGAGGACCCTTGAGAAAGAACACTTTGCACACTGCAGAGCAGAGCTTGGAGCAGGCTGGCGGTGATGAAGGCGAAGGAGACAGAAAGATAACTTGACGATGCAAATTAGAATAGAAAGAACAGTAGGTACGAGACTTTGGACTGACCAAGACGGGATGATGAAGTATTTTCTCTGAATTTGTCAAACGCCAATGAACTAGGTGTTTTCTCTGAATTTGTCAAACGCAAATGAACTAGGCATTGTTGGTGTAATTATTTTTTGCCTGTATATATTGTATACACTTATTATATATAGCTTTGCTTATGTTAGTAGGTTTTCTTATTGTATTAGACAAAAAAGGGAATTGTGGTGATATAATATTTATGATTTATTAAAGCTTGCCTGAGGATTCAGAAAGCAAAGTTAGCTTCAAGCTATAGAGGTCAAGCAGTGGTGGTATACCTTTAATCCCAGGACTCAGGATTAAGAGGTAGACAGACTTCTCTTAGTTCAAGACCACCATGGCCTACACAAGAGTGAAGAGTATCACATGCCTTTAATCCCAGCATTAGGGAGGTGTTTAAGACAGGAGCAAGGTCTCAGAGCTGGCACTCATTCTCCAGCCACACTGAGGACAGGAAGACATTGAAGTCTCAGTATTCTCCAGCCACGCTGAGGAGAGGCAGCAGTCTGAGGTTTGGTGGAGCCGGGATGGCCTTTCATTCTGAGGTAGAGTAAGAGCTAGTGCCGGTTGAACCCCAAAATCTGTCTCTGGGTCTTTCCGTGCTGCAGGAGACTGGGATGAGACAGGTGGCCTTGGGAATGCTGGGCAGAGAAGATTCCAGGAGAGGCAGGAAGGGCAGGCCTGGTGCCGGGTTGGCAGAGGGGTGGGCACAGAGTGAGGAACCTCGCAGGATGCTGTCGGCACGCCTCACTGGGGCTGGCAGAGGTGCTGCGCCCCACCTGGCATGATAGCAACCTCCAGAAAAGAGGAGAAGTTGGGGCAGGGGCTCAGCACCTGATGTGGGCCGGGCATAGACAGGCACGCCTGTGTTAGAACTGGGGGTGACGGGGCGGAGGATCCAACAATCAGCCACAAAGAAGGGGACGAGGCAAGGATGGAAAACGAAGTCACAAAGTGTCGAGTGCAGCAGACACCTGCAGCCCCACTGAGCGCAGCCATGAGACAGACAGAAGCCAGGAGACAGACAGACACGGCACTCAGCCACCTGGCTTTGAGAAGTGTGACAGGAAGATGGAGACAGCATTGGAAACGGTGGCTTGGAGGAGGCTTGTGAACCACGGGCTTTGATTTCAAAACAGACTTGAGCTATTGTGAGTCACAAACTCAACACACAGGGAGTTGACTGATGCCTGGAGGTGGATGAGACGCAGTGAGGCTGGGAGGGTCACCCGAAGAGAGAGAGCATGAGGGGAAGGCTAAGGGCTCTGGTAGGGCAGCAGGGAGATGGGGGAGCCATGGGCTTTGTGAAATCCCATGTTCCCACACAGGGACCTACAGAGGATCTCCTGGTCCCCACGCGACATGAGGGTAGCAACTGTTCCTGTCCCATGGGAACAAATGCCTGAAAGGCCACTTGGCACAGGGCCCAGCAAGCAGGGGACCGCGACAGATACTCTGGAATAAGAATAATAAATAACATGGAGCGAGCCGAAGGGGCCTGAGGCCCGGAAGTGGCAAGGTCAGGGCTGTGTTTTAGAAAGTCTGCGCTGGAGGAGGAGGTAGCCTTGGGGTGAAATGAAAGGTCGGGCCCTTCTGGAGGTATTTCTCTGAAGTCTGTGGGAAGTTTGTAGTGTCAGGTTAAGGATCTGATTGGTTCCATGTTTGGTTTTGATCCGGCTGTTTCCTTGAGTCCTCTGGCTTCGGATATTCAGGTCCAGTCAGGCTGTGGAGAGGGCTGCTTTCCAGTCAGGCTGCGTGAGAGGGTCCGAGGCAGCTCCAGGGTGGATCTCAGCAATGCCATCGATCAGCTGATAGGAAGAAGGAACCAAGAAGAGCGATAAGTTACTTACAGCGCAGGTTTGGGGAAGGGCCAGAGTGACGGGGACAGTCTCGGGGCTCCTGTCCCAGGGCTGTGGGACTCTTAGCCTGTTCCTTGGGGGGACGCTGAAGGTGGGGCTTCTCGCCACACTCAGCCCTCTTTCCATACGGCACGGTTCATGGATTCTACCCAGGAAGACACTAATGCCTTTTGGGAACACCCTGGGCCCATGGCTAGCTCAAAGGTCTAGGCTCAGATGAGGTAGGAAAATGGCCTCAACGATAATATCCACACTGTGCTCTAACCACACACCACGCTCTTCTTCAAATTTCCCGCCCCTTGGAGGGGATGGAGGAAGAGACTGGAGGTCAGGGCGCATTGCTTGACTGAGACCTCATCTTGGATTAGAACCTATTTCCTGGAAAAAGCTTCATTCAGACACAATAGAAAGAGCCTGAGTACCAGCTTCCAGCTCTCTGCTAACCTGCTGTGTGACCTCAGGTGACAGGTTTGCCCTCACTGAACCCTCAGTCAGAGGTCTGTGCTGGGAATCCCACTGGCTCCTGGCTGCCTTTAGCCTCGCACATAGTAGGTGCTCCATGGAGGCTGGAGCCCCCTTCCCAGGGTTTCCCTGTCTGGGGTGATTATCTCCATGGAATCCACGCTGTGAAAATAAACATGAACTCAAGTGGCCCCAGTCTCCGTGGCAGCCAAAGGGAAGCTGGGTCCCCAGCCCATGTCTGTTGTAGACAAGAACAAACGTTTCCCTGTAAGCTTGACTCCCCCCATTCGCTTCAGCAGCCAGCTGGAATGGGGGTGGGGCAGGGGGACAGGCCCAAAGCAGTGAGCTCAGCTGTCAGTCAAGCCCAAGCGTCCCTCCCTCCCCTCCCCCTCCCTCCTTCTCCCCTCCCTCCCCTCCCCCTCCTCTCCCCCTCCCTCCCTCCCCCTCCCCTCCCTCCCCCTCCCTCCCCCTCCCCCTCCCTCCTTCCCCCCTCCCTGTCCCATCTCAGCACCCAGACAGGTAACTGTCCTTCAGGGTTCAGCTGGCTCTAGTGGAGGGTTTGAGAAGGCTCCGTGGCAGCTGCTGGCATGGGTATTGTCACAGACGTTATGGTGTCTTTCGCCTTCACGTTGGCCCCCTGCTCAGAGCTCCCGGAGCTGGTGGGGAATGGGGCACCCGGAAGGACACGTCAAACTCACACAGCTTGTTGTCTGAGAGGAATGAATTCAAATTCCGAGTCTGCCGTGACTACGAGGTGTTGGGAGTGTGTGGGCTCCCGAGCCCTGTCCCGCCTCTGTCATGCGTGGGCTGTGGGGCAGGGGCTGTGACACTCCGAGTCGGCACGGTGCTCCTGGCCAGTGGAGTCATTAGAATTAGGGGGTGGGGGCAGACGTGAGGCATGGTGAGGTGAGCAGCCCGGGTATGGTAGGAAGGGTGGCGGCCCTCAGGCTCTTCCTGGGAGTAACAGTGAGGAGCAGAGGGGCCTGGACTCCTCGCGGCTGCCGAGTGACAGGGACACAGACCTGCTGAGGAGAAGAAGAAGAAAGGGCCCAGCCTTCCCTGTGACCCTAGTAACCCTGCTAGGGGACCCCACACACAAGCAAACGTAAGCCGAAGGGGTGGTTGTACCTTCCCCTCAAGCCACCGGAGTGAAGGGAGTCCACGGGAGGAGGGGCTCTGCAGGGGCAGGGACAGCAGCCAGGCCCCAGGCTGTGCTTTGTTCCACACGAGGGGCCATGGTGGTGAGCTGTGCAGAGTGAACCAGGGGAGCGCCCAACGGCAAAGCGACTGAGAACTCAACACCCCCTTCAGAGGGCTCTGTTCATGTTGGTCCACAGGTAGGAACTAGGAAAGCAACTGGTTTTCTTTTTTTTTTTTAATTAATTTATTTTTTATGTATACAGTGTTCTGTCTGCACGTATCCCTGCAAGTCAGAAGAGGGCGCCAGATCTCATTATGGATGGTTGTGAGCCACCATGTGGTTGCTGGGAATTGAACTCAGGACCTCTGGAAGAGCAGCCAGTGCTCTTAACCTCTGAGCCATCTCTCCAGCCCTCAACTGGTTTTCTTATTTCACCCTTCAGTTTTGCAGTTTTACTAAAGTTAACAATTAGCTTGCTTGTTTGGCGTGTTGGTTTGAGACAGTGTCTTATTTAGCCCATGCTGGCCTTGAATTCATTGTGTAGCAGAGGATGACCTTGAGCTCCTGGTTCCCCTGTGCATTTCCCAAGCTTCGAGCTCACCGATGGGCATGCTAGGCCTGGATCCTCACCTCTGTAAGTCTCCTGGTGGGTTACATTGATTTTCCACTCAGTCGGTTATGTCATCTACAAATGAACACAAAGGTACTTTTTAAAATATGTAATCGTTTATTTACTGTGTATGTGTCTGTCTCTGCGCATACGTGTGTGAGCTCACATGCCACCATGCAGGTCCTAAGTACAAATGCATGTCACCAGGCTTGGCGGCAACTGCCTTTAAACACTGAGCGATTTGCTGGCACTGTAGTGGGTTTTTTTTTCTTTCTTTCAAAATAAAACAGCAACCAAGACAAGCCTGTGGGAAAGACAGTCCCCCCAGAACCTCAGAGGCAGACTGCTGCAGCGTACTGTCCTTGGAGTTCCGATCACACCCCCTCCCCTGCTGGCCATCATAGGTCCGTGACATTAGGACTGAGAGGGTGCCCGATGTGGTCTGGGAATGGAAACCATGGGGCTGGCCTGTCTCTCCCTGTGGGTGGAGCCACTCAGACATTTCAATATTCAAATCACAGTAGCTTTTCTTTATTTTTTCTTATGTTTATTTATTTATTTGTGGGGGGGCATGCATGTTTCTCATTGTACATGTGGAGTCAGAAGACAACTTGTGGGAGTCTGTTCTCTCCTTCCGTCATGTGGGCTCCAGAGCTCCAACACCTGTCCTCCAGCTCGACAGAAATCCGTTTAACCCACCAATTCGTCTTACCATCCCTTTGTCCTTTTTTCAGCTGTGTGTGTGTGTGTGTGCGTTTTATGTGTTTAGTGGGTGTGTACCTGTTCGTATGTACAAGTGTGCATACAGGTCCATGTGCACATGTGTGCATATTTGGAAGCCAGATGCCCACACTGAGTCTACTTCTCCATGGCTCTCTATTTTTTTTTTTTTTTTGGTTTTACGAGACAGGGTTTCTCTGTATTGTTTTGGAGGCTATCGGTCCAGCCCAGCCTTGAACTCACAGAGATCCGCCTGCCTCTGCCTCCCGAGTGCTGGGATTAAAGGTGTGCGCCACCACCGCCCTGCTGGCTCTCTATTTTTTGAGACCAAGTCTCTCATCGAACTTGAAGCGTGTGGTGGTGCGTACTGGGGAGGTGGAGGCAGGAAGATCAGAAGCCATAGTCATCCTAGGCTACACAGGACCCTGCTCCATAACAGTGTAGGTCAGCCAATGGCTACCTGATGCAGAAAATGCCATTTGTACAAAATAACTAAGTGCATCTAAATATCCAACAAAAACTTGCCTCATGGCTACCATCTTCATGATGTTTTGGTTTTCTTTTAATTTTTAAAGTTATTTGTGGGGGCAGACATGCATATCACTCTGTGTGTGTGTGTGTGTGTAGAGCTCAGAGGACAACTTACAGGAGTCAATTCTTTCCTTCTGCCATGTGGGTTCCAGAAATTGAACTCAGGTCCTTGACATTGACAGCAAGCTCCTTTACCTGCTGAGCCATCTCACTAGCCAGCACGTTTGATTTATGACACTGTGATTTCATTTTCACACACACACACACAAACACATTTATGTAAATCTACTCTTAAAAGCTGTGATTTTTAACATGTCCATTTTCCGATTTATTTAATCTTTATTTAGACTCATAAACACAGCAAAAGCTTTATGTTGTCTTGGTGGAGTTTTACAGCATTTCAGACATATGTACTGGAGGTTGGGTGTGTCTAATCTAAGAATCTGAACTCTGAAATGCTTCAAGATCCAAAGCTTGGGGCTGGGAAGATACTTAATGGGTGAGATGCCTTCCACCAGAGCATGCGGTGGGGGAGGGTATCGGAGGACAACTGTAGACTCAGATCTCTGCATTCACCTTCCTGTGGGTCCCAGGGATCAAACTTGGTCGCTAGGTGTGTGTTATAAATGCCTTTACCTTCGGAGGTATCCCTATGCAGCCTTCATGTTTTGTAAGTCGTGACGGTCAGAGTCCAACCAGACAGAATACTCACCTGAAACCCGTTTAGGCAAAGAAAGCCTGAGAGCTTTAGTGGAAGCCCTCCAGGGTGTTTCTCCTGACTTCACCTCCTGGGGGCAGCTGCATTCTCAGACAACCAACCCTGCTCAGGAGCCAGGTGACCCTGAAGCAGCTGTGTCCAACACTGCAAAGTCATGGTAAAAATGTGCTTCAAGCAAACGTCTGGAGTGTCACTCTGTAAGCTGTCTCAGGCCTCTGACCGTCGAGGCCACTCTCCATGCCACAGTGATGGATTCGTTTTAATTGGCTTAAACCTGGCTCACACGGTCTACCCAGGGAGAGGATGAAGTTGGGGTGATGGATGTGGGATGACCCACAGAACAAGCTGCACCCCACAGTTATGAGTAGGGCAGAAGCCAGGATCCAAAGTCTAGAGACAGGAGGATGGGAACCTGCCCTGCTGAGCCCTGAAGACCACGAACTTACTGACTGTCTGCTATTGCTCACCCAGCGACACACGCACTGTTCTGACTGTTTGAAGCAAGATGTAATGGTGGATTCCCATTAATGACAGTGGGGGTGGGGTGAGGCTCGATCCCAGGAGTGCATGCTTAGGACCCTGGCTTCCACCCCACTGCTACATAAAGCAGACAGGAGTGCTTGTCTGTAGTCCCAGAACATGGGTGGTGGAGGCAGGAGGATCAGGAGTCCCAAGTCATCCTAGACTACATAGAGAGTGTGAGGCCAGTCTGGACTACATCAGACCCCGCAGATAAAAAATTTTTAGTTTGGTTTTGGTTTTCTTAAGACAGATCTGTGTAGACCTGGTTGTCCCAGAACTCACTCTATAACTCTATAGACCAGGCTAGGCTTGAACTTAGAAATCCTCCTGCCTTCAGAGATCTACCTGCCTCTACCACCTAGGGGCTAGGATTAAATTCATGCACCGCTTTAAAACAAAGCAAAACAAAAAACTTTTTTTTTTGGTTTTACAAGACAGTGTTTCTCTGTATTGTTTTGGAGGCTGTTGGTCCAGCCTGGCCTCAAACTCACAGAGATCCGCCTGCCTCTGCCTCCGGAGTGCTTGGATTAAAGGCATGTGCCACCACTGCCCAGCTAACAAAAAATCTTTTAAAGGGGGAGATGAAGTTGTTTAGGCTGTGGCGGGTCACACACCATGCCTGATATACCCTGGCCAGTGCTTCCAGCCCAAAGATAGGTGGCTGTCACACGGCCATTCCCTAAGGTCCGGATTATCTTTCTACCAAGACAAAATGATGACAGCAGTGCTGCTTAGAGAATAATAAGAAGAGCTAGTTACAGCTCGGTGATAGGGGATGCTCACGCCTTTAATCCCAGCACTCAAGAGGCAGGTGGACCTCTGTGAGTTGAGACCAAGACCAGTCTGCAGAATGAGTTCCAGGACAGCCAGGGCTACACAGAGAAACCCTGTCTCAAAAAATAAAAATTTCAAAATAAACCAATTTTTTTGAAAGAATGTCTATTTATTGGTAGCTTATGAAGCAATCCAGAGCTGAGCTCCCGGGCCTCTCCCTGACCAGGGAATGGATACCGCTCACACCCTGTGCTACTGAAGTTAAAAACCAAGGTCACAGAACCAACTCAGTGTGTGGTGCTGAGGGCGAGAGTCCTAAAGGCCTGTGTGCTACTAACACTCTCTGCAGCCAAGAAGGACCCAGAACTGTAGAAAGTCAATGTGCTGGGACAGAGCACCCAGTGGGAAAGGGACCGAGGCGGGCAGGTGCCTCCGGATACTGTCCTTGCTGCATTTCCCCGGCATCCACGGGAAAGGTTACACAACCAGCCGAGAAACCGTGTGCAGCCTCCCAGCCCGCTAGATAATCATCTTCCTGCGACTGCAGCCTTCGTCTCCACTTGATAATTATTTTATGTGGTAAAGGATGACATCACTATGAAAATAAATCCAAGCCCTAAGTAGATGGTGAGGCTTTAAGGGATGTTCAGGGAGGAAAATTGTCATGATGGACTGTTATCGGCAATTTCCTGAAAATGCAAACAACACTGTGTATACATGCATAAATGTATGTACATACGCATACATATATAGGCATACATTTATAAAAGGCTGTCTTTATACAGGGCCAACCACAGATGTAAACTGATACCCTGGTTATTTTTATTATCTCATTTACTGCACTTTCCAAGTAGTCATTACTGAAGTACATTATATTTATAATTTAAAGGTTTTTTTTTCAATTCTGTACCAAAGTTTCTCAGTTCAAGAAGCTGAAGACGTCTGTAATGACCACAAACTTTTGTTTTTCTTTTCCTTTTTCATTCAACAAACTTACATTGATTTCTTCCTGCACTGTTCAGGATGCCTGGAAGGGTTCCTGGTGCCATGGGCAGACAGACAGACAGTCTTAAGTTACAATCAGGGGAAAGTGAGGTATGGCTGGCCCCACTTAACATTACCTCTGTGAGAACAGGACCCTGCCTCTGAGCCTGAGTGCCCAGGGTGGGATCTGGAACAAGGCTAGGCACTCAAGTGCCCGCACTTAGGACCACGTCCCAGGATGGATGACAGCTTCCTGTCCTGTAAAAGATGGGAGGGACACCTTTGCATGGGGTTGCATGAGGTCTCACACACAGAGCATCCATTTTATAATGTCCGGGAGTGTCCTGGACTGTCAACAGGGGGCAGGGATGGCTGGTGTCAGACAGGGTGACCTTGAGGGTGGGTGAAGCCTGACTTTACTTGAAAATCAAACACATTTTATGTACCATAAAGTCACCAAATATTAGTTATTTGAAAGGAAATTCCAAATATTAAAAATGAAATGAGGAGGAGGAGAAGGAGGAGGAGGAGGAGAAGGAGAAGAAGAAGAAGAAGAAGAAGAAGAAGAAGAAGAAGAAGAAGAAGAAGAAGAAGAAGAAGAAGAAGAAGAAGAAGAAGAAGAAGAAGAAGAAGAAGAAGCTAGCTTGTGTTGAGTTGGTGACCCTAGTCCCAGTCACTCCCAAGTGTGATAATCTTGACTGCACATCAGTCACTAAGATGTCCCCTGAAGGCAAAGAAAAACAAACACATAAACAGCCTGAAAAAAGTCTAATTGTATTGGTGCATCTGAAATTCATGGTAGCAGGGCATGCAGGCTCACATCTGTAACCCTAGCACTTCTGAGGCTGAGGCAGAAGGATTGCTGTGAGTTTTAGACCAGCCTGGGTTGCACAGTATATGGGTTGGAATGTGGCTCAGTTGGTGAGCCTTCTGCCTAGCATGCACCAAGCTCTTGGTCCCACCCCAGCACCACAGAAACCTGTGTGGTGACACTTGCCTGTAACCCCAGAGCTCCGGAAGTGGAGGCGGGAGGATCAGGGATTCAGGGATGTTCCTAGCTACATACGGTTGGAGACACCTGGGCTGCAAGAGAGTCTAACTTAAAACAAAGCAAAAAACCACTATACAGTCCAGAATCTAAGTTAGAAATATTAATATGAACTCGTGGTTTAAAAAAACCTTATTTTTAGCAGTTTTGGTATGTAGAAAATCTGTGCACAGTACAGAGTTTCTGTACACCCTGCACCGTTTTGCTGTAATTTCTAAGCTAACATCAAGGCATCCCAGCTAAAGTTCTGCCCTATCAGTGTCCTCTTCCTGTTGGGCATTCTGTGGTCTTTGACAAATGTGTGACATTAGTCCACAGCTACACACTTACAGGCATAGAAAGAGGTAGCAGTAACAATTGATAACGAAATGGAAACGTTATGGACCGGGCGCGTAGCTCAGTTGGTACCATGCTTGCCTAGCACACACAAAACCCTGAGTCTGAACCCTAACAGTGCACAAGAACAGGCGTGGTGGCCTATGCCTGCAATCTCTGCCGCTGGGAAGTAAAGGCAGGCTGGGCGGTGGTGGCGCACGCCTTTAATCCCAGCACTCGGGAGGCAGAGGCAGGCGGATCTCTGTGAGTTCGAGGCCAGCCTGGTCTACAGAGCTAGTTCCAGGACAGCCTCCAAAGCAATACAGATAAACCCTGTCTCGAAAAACCAAAAAAAAAAAAAAAAAGAAAGAAAGAAAAGTAAACACAGAAGACTCAAGGTCATCCTGGACCACACAGGAGGGTCAAGCCTGAGGCCCTGTCTCGAAACAATAAAAAATAAGTAAGTGAAGCAGGCTAAGGAGATAGCTCTGTCAGGGATGGCATGAGCACTTGAGTTTGATATACAGAACCGACATGGGGGAGGGGAGGCCTTTTAACGCCCACACTGAAAATGGAAACTAGCCTTGCACAATTGGTGAGCACCTGTAAGGAATCTTGACTCAAAGATTAGGTGGAGGGACCAATGACATGGTTCAGCAAGCCAAGGTGAGTGCCACACAGCAGGGTCCTTCCTTGGAACACAGGTAGAGATAGACGGAAACCAGTTTCACGAGGTTGTTCTCTGATCTCTGTCTGAGGCACGCACTCCGATGCACACAGGCACCCACTGAATCGATCGATCGGTAATAAAGTGGAGAGCATTCAGGAAGACATCTAATGCCAGCCTCTGATCTCTAGACACACTCGTATACCAACCCACCCCCTACCAATAAGTCATCTAGTTTGTAGGTAAATAAATAACAGTTTAAAACAATTGTCAAGCTGGGGGCTGGAGAGATGGCTCAATGGTTAAGAGCACTGGCTGCTCTTCCAAAGGACCCAGGTCCAATTCCCAGCACCCACCTGGCAGCTCACAAATTGTGCGTAACTCCAAGATCTGACAGGCTCACATGGACATACATGCAGGCAGAACACCAAAGCACATAAAATAATAATAAATAAAAATTTTTTAAAAATCATCAAACTGAAAAAAATGCAAGCACTTGCAACACTCCAAGCGTTCATGTGATGACCGAGATGGTAAGTAACAGACAGGTCACACATACAGCAGGGACACACTGGAAAGGGCCGACTCACACCCCAGGACGGACAAGATGGGAAAACTGGACATTTTATCCGGGTGCTTTTAGTGAAGTACAACAGGGGGGCTTTTCCACTGATATGTGTAGACCGATATTGACCACAGAAAACCAAAAACTGGGAGGTATACCTTAGACAGAGTGACTGATCGCCACAGTGCCAAACCCTCTGTGCTCCGCTGAGAAGTGTACACTTTCCCAACACCCATCTTTCTACTGTCTCCATAGTTTTGCCCCTTTCAGGGTGCCATGTAATTAGAATCAGGCAGATGGGCTTCCCTCATATAGCAATATGCATTTGAGGGCAAACACCTAAGTAATATTCCATTGAATGGACATACATACCACAGTCTGCTAATCCATTCTCCTAGAGAACATCTGGGTTACTTCCAAGATTTGGCATTCATGACTCACTCTGTATTTTTTTTTGATGGGGTGTATTTCCAACTTGTCCACTGGAAATACCCAGAAATAATGGCCAATCCAATAGCAAAGCATGTTGCTTAAATCTAGATTGTAGTCTCTAAGCATGATTCCTGCAGAGACCGGGGCTCCTTAACAATGATTCAGATGAGTAGCAGCAAGTTGATGAGGCCCATTCGGAGCATCCTGATCTTCTAGGACATAAAGTGGCCTCCAGAGCCTTCTGGGCACAGGCTTCCGGGGTCAACCCAAAGAGGACCCCTCTGGTCAAAGGAAAGAATGGGACATGGAGGACATGGATAGGAGTTCCAGGGGATTGCAGCACATTACACCCCTGTAGTCACAAGGATAGTAGAGAAATAACCCCTGGGCCAGTGAGACGGTTCAGCAGGTGGAGGACTTGCCTGACCACCCATCTGAGTTCACACCCCATAGCCCACCTGTGTACTGAGGCGTGTGCGTATACAGGCATAGGTGCACTAAATAAATAAATAAGTGTAAAGATATTTTTAAGGTAACTCCAGCCTGAGTGTGTGGTTCCGCAGCACAGACAGCACTTGCCTAGCAAGCCTAAGACCCTGGTTTCCACCCCCAGGACTGAAAACAAAACTAAAAGCGGGTCTGGGGGTGTGGCTCAGTTACTGCGAGCTTGCTTAGCAAGCTCAAAGCCCTGGGTTCGATCCCCAGCATGGCATAAAGCAGACACAGTGGTCGCACCTGTAGCATCAGTTAGTGCTTAGGCAGGAGAACAGGGAGTTCAAGGTCATTCTTGACTACATAGGGTGTTCCAGACCAGCTGGGATACACGACATTTTGTCTAAGGAGAGAGGGAGGGAGGGAGGGAGGGAGGGAGGGAGGGAGGGAGGGAGGGAGGGAGGGAGGGAGGGAGGGAGCCATGATTTGAGAAACAGTAAGGGCCAAAGCTGACAGCATAGTGATCACACCTGTATTGCCCTCATTAGGGAGGTTGAGTCAGTAGGGCTGTAATGAGTCCAAGACCAGCCTGGATATCTTTGCATGACTATTTCAAAATAAGATTTCAAAGGTAAAAAACAAAACAAAACAAAAAAGAACAGGATCTGAGGGTGTGGCTGAGGAGTGGAGTCCTTGCCCAGCATGTCAAGGCTCCGAGTTCAATTCCTAGTGTTAAAAAAATAATGGTCAAGAGTCAAGCCCTCAGTGCCTCTCTTGCCGTTCTGAAGGAGATCTTATGGTACTCGGTGTAGCTAAAGAGTTGCTAAGGAGACCCTGCCATCCTCAAAGATCCCAGCTAAGAGACAAGAAGGAAGCTGGCCACAGAAAAGCGTCCTTCTGCAAGCCCTGATACAGCAACGAACCTAGGTGAACACCAGTGATCACTAACTACACACACACACACACACACACACACACACACACACACACACACACACACAGAGGCCAGGAGTCTCAATCTCCCGAGAGGCAGACTGCCAAAAATTGAACCTGAATCTGATCTAATTACAGGAATTACAGAGGACAGAGGAACGTGTTTAAGGGCCCCACAGGGATACAGGCAGCGGACTCCAGACCTGAGTAATGCTGAAGGACAATGGCAAGGGCTGGGAGCCGAGCAGGCAGAGAGGGGAGCCAGACACAGCTTCAGAGACCTGGACACGGCTTGCGGGCTTCTCTGTAACGGGCAAGCATAAGACTGTCCAGGGTCGGCAACGCTGACGTGATAGGTTTGGGTGATAAACTTTCCAGATTGTGACAGGTAATTCCAATTATCAGCTTGATTGGATTAGCAAACACGGGGGCACTGGTGGCACACAGCACTAGGGGTGTCTGTGACCGTGCACCCACAGAGGACTAGGTGAGGAGAGGAGACCCGCCCTGAGGATGAGTGTCACCATCCCGGGGGCTGAGGTCCCAGACTCAATAAAAAGGGGGGGAGGAGAAATCCATGTGAACACTATCCCTCCCTCTCTCCACTTCCTGAGCTCCCGCTGCCTCCATCTCCGGCCACCAAGCTTTCTCTCCCCACCACAATGGCCGGTGCCCTTAAACTGTGAAGAAGTTAACTTTCTTTCCTTACATTGCCTCGTCTGGTATTTGGTCACCCCAGCAGAAAACTAGGTGGTGCAATGGGATTAGCACAATTTTAAAGGGGGAGGAGGCTTCAATCCCCAGGATCCACATGATGGATGGAGACAGCCAGTTCCCACAAATTATCCCCTACCTCTACATGTATACCATGGTAAATAGGCACCCTATACACAGAGAGAGAGAGAGAGAGAGAGAGAGAGAGAGAGAGAGAGAGAGAGAGAGAGAGGGAGGGAGGGAGGGAGGGAGGGAGGGAGGGAGGGAGAGATCAATGAATGTAATACTTTTTTCAAAGGTTCCCTTTCTTGAGCTGTTGAGATGACTCAGTGTTAAGAGTACTTACTGCTGTTGCAGAAGACCTGGGTTCGATTCCCAGCCCCACATAACAGGTCACAGCTGTTTGTAACTCCACTTCCAGGGAATCTGACGCCCTCTTCTGGCCTTCATGAGCACTGCACACACGTGATGCACTTAGCACGCAGTGACAAAACACTCATTGTCATAAAAAATAAGTTTAAAGAATCTCTTTCCTTTAGAGACATATACCAAATTGAGTGTGTTGGCATCCCCGCTGCCCCCTGTGATTCTAGCACTTAGGAGGCTGGCACAGGAGGATTGCTATAAGTTTGAGACCAGGCTATCTGGTGAGCTCAAGGCCAGCCTGGGATACCTAGAGAGCCCAATCTCAAGAATATTTTTTCACATACCCCAACAACTGTGCTTGATACATAGTAGAGTTTAGAAATAATAAAATAAAGAAATGTTGGTTTCTGGATGGACCAGTGAGATGGCTCCGAGGTAAAGGCGCTTTCCACGTGAGCCCAGTTTGATCTGTGCAACCCACATGCAGGTGAAAGGGGAGAATTGGCTCCACAAGGCCTCCTCTGACCTCCGCAGGAACACTCACATGTATGCATCATGCCTATGTAGACATGCAAACACTCACATGTATGCATCATGCCTATGTAGACATGCAAACGATAGGGGCGTGTGTAAATTCTTAAGGAATCCACTGGCAATGTGAAGGGGGCTGGGAATCCAGCTTTAGTGGTACAGTGTTTACCTAGCACTCATGAGGCCCCAAGTTGGATCTACACAAAAATAAATTAATAATTTTAAATCCATTGGAATCAGAAATTTTGAGTAGGATAAAATGAAACAGGATTGCCTGTGAATTGCAATAGCTGAACCTAGGGAATGGGCATGCTATTCTATTTTTATATACATTTGAAATTTTTCGTAATACAAAAGAAGCTGCTGGGTGTGGCAATACATGTCTTATTCCCAGCAGTTAAGAGGCTGAGGCAGGAGGATTGCTGAAACTTTAAGGCCAGCCTAGGCTACGTAATGAGCACCAGGCCAGCCAGGGCTGTAAGTCAAACTCTGTCTACAAACAAATAAACAAAAAGTTTACCAAAAATAAAAGGTTGGGGGACCAGGCATGGTGATGTGCACCTTTAATCCCAGCACTCAGGAGGCAGAGGCAGGAGGATCCCTGTGAATTCAAGGCCAGCCTGGTCTACATTTCAAGCTCCAGGATAGCTGGAGCAGAAAAGCAGAAACCCTGTCTCAAAAACAAAAACAAAAACAAACAGTGCTCCATGTGGTGGTGCACACATTTAGTCCCAGCACTCAGAGGCAGAGGCAGGAGGGTCTCTGAGTTTGAGGCCAACGTGGTCTACAAAGCAAGTTCCAGGCCAGCCAGAGCTATATACAGAAACCCTGTCTTGAAAAACAGGGTTTCTGTATATAGAATCAATCAATCAATAAAAGCTTAGAAAATTACTTGTTCATAACAAAAGCAGAGCCCTCTGGTATTACCCATGCTCTTGTCATTGTTTGGTATGAAGCTGCTACGGGGTACTTCCCTTCCAGATGCCCCTGCTTTTAGAGTATCTGTAGTAGGTTTGCTTTAGGAGGCTCCACACACGTGGCACCCATCCCTGTGCCAGCCAGGCTTCCTCCTGGGAGAGAAGAGACTGCCAGCCACCAAGAGGAGGAAGCCCAGCCCAGCAGCCAACAATGGCAGGCACCAGATTGGGGCAGTGAACCACCTACCAAGGGGGGCTTCCTCACAGGCAAGTGCGGTGCTGAGAACCCCACAGAAGACACGGGTCCTCAGTGTGATGCAGAAAGTATGAGCCCAGGCTCTGAGAGACACAGGTTCAAATCTCAGGTCTTCTAGCTACTGTCTGTGGGATGTAGGCATGTGCCTTCCCATGCCTGAGCCTCAGTTTCCCCATTGTTGACTAGCGGTGAGATTGACAACACTATTCAGAGTTGACCTTAGAGTAGATTGTGACAGGGCAACATTTGGAGTTTTGTACTGTTTCTGATCATCTGCCAAATGACCAAAATATACAGTACCCATCCACTCACCATTCCTTCCCCCATCGCTCCTGGGTTTCTCTTGAAGCTGTAAAGGAATAGAGAGGGTGAGGGAAGAAGACATATACCCTACTTACACAATGAAGGAGAGACAAGGACAGTGAAAACACAGCCAACGTAGTCTGACCTGTCAGAATGTGAAGGAAAGCTTCCGGGAGGAGGTGACATTTACAGGGACACACAAGAAATGCATGGGAGTCAGCTGAAAACAGGACGGAGTCCAGCCATACAGGCTGAGGGAGCAGCCAGGCCAAGTCTCAGGGGCTGAAATAAAGCCAAGAGTCTTGGCAAGGTGAGCCTTGCAGAGCGCGGAGGGGAGGGAGGCAGAGACCAGGCCGGTGAGGGGCCGTCAGAAGGTTTCTGGACTTGGAGGCTTGTCCCGGGTTTAGAAGAGGCTGACTTGCCAAGCTGTTCCAGGGAGGAGAACTCTGCTGGGCATATTGTGTGGGCTGGAGCAGAGGTGGGGCGAGTATGCACCAATGGAATCTGCTGGCTCTTCCACACCACTGTGGAACAGTTACAAGGCTTTCTAGATCTCAGCAAGCTCAAAGACACTTCAGACAGGCACACACACACACACACACACACACACACACACACACACACACACACTGAATGCTGCTTGGTACCCAATGGCATCGGCGTGCAGGCTGTGACCTTGGGCAAGGCACTTCACCCTGAGAGCCTCACCTTCCTGGTGGGTTCACTGGGCAAGCGTGACAGCTGCTCACAGGGTCACTGTAGGCTTCTGAGAGGTCACTGAGGTCGGGAGCCACCCGCAGTGCTTAAAAGCAAGAACAGCACCAGACACAGCCTCAACTGTGGGGACAGACAGACACAGCCTCAACTGTGGGGACAGACACAGCCTCAACTGTGGGGACAGACAGACACAGCCTCAACTGTGGGGACAGACAGACACTGCTGAGCCTTCTGCATCATGTTCTCACAGGAGCCCCTCCTTCTGCGGAGGGTCCAGCAGGGGTTGCTTGGGGGCCGCATTCCAGAAAGAGCAGCTCTGTGTAACATGAAACCCTGACTCTGGACACATAACCTCTATGGGAAATTGGAGGATAAGGCCTGTTCTGCAACCTGCCCAGCCCCCTTGCACACAAAGGGGATATTGAAACCCAGTGCCTGGTCACTTGGCCAGAGAGATTGTCCTAAGCAACACACTTGACCGTGGCATGGCCGTTGAAACCGTTCCTGGCTCTCAAGTGCAAGCCTACACTCCTCACCGTGACCTACAGGGCCTCGAAGTCAGCTCCTCCCCAACGGTAACCCAGAGCCTGGCTGTGATCAGCCACAAGGCGTCCGCCCGTGGCTCTGGTGCCTTTCTGCCTCAGGGACTTTGCACAGCCCTTGGCTCCTCTACTAGGAGGAGCTGACACTCTGAATTGTTACAGATCCTAAAGGCCACAGAGGGGCTGAGGGTGGACAGTAGTTTGGATGGCAGAATCCTGTAAAAAAACAAAACAAAAAAAAAAACCCAGGCAGGTGGCTGGGCAGTGATGACGCTCGCCTTTAATCCCAGCACTTGGGAGGCAGAGGCGGGCGGGATCTCTGTGAGTTCAAGGCCAGCCTGGTCTACAGAGCAAGTTCCAGGACAGCCTCCAAAGTCCCAGAGAAACCCTGTCTCAGGATAAAGGGAAAAAAAAAGGGGAGGGGGGCAGGTGGCCTGGAATCCCAGCACTCAGGAGACAGAAACAGGGATTCCTTGTGGCAAAATGGCTAGCAGAGCCAGACTCCACAACTCCAGGCTCAGCATGAGACCCAGCCTCAGGAGACACAGTGAAGAGTAGTTAAGACCTCCGCGTCAGCTTCGGCCAGTGTGCGCACGCACACACATAGATATGCATTCCTGTGTACATACGTCCACATACATACAAACAAAATGTCCACACAGAGCTCGTCAAACTCCCCAACAGCAAGGCGAAGTAGTGAAGTCACTCTTGCTTTCCAAACAAGAAAACTCAAGGCCAGAACAACCAAGGGTTTCTACTCAGCCCCCCCCCGCAGCCCCCCCAGACTCTAAAATCTTAGGGCTGTACTTCAAGCACAGCAGGACAGCAAGAGTGGATCAGATAAGAGAGTCAAGGACAAGATGTGTTCATGACCAGGCCCGGCAGGGATGAGCAGAGCCTTGATGCAGCTGCAGCCCAGGGCAGGCTCTGAAACTGCTGGGCTGAGGCGAGACCCTGTTCATCTCTGCGCCTCAGTTTCCTCATCTGTGAGGTGGGGCTGAAAAACTGACTTCCATTCCGAATGAGGTGCTGGCCTGCTGGGTGAGTAGCACGATGCCCCCCCTCTGGTGACACACAGCATCTAGGGAAACTGGGTCAGTCCGGACCAAACCAGCTCTGTCAGACTTGTACTACCCAGAGCTAGGCAGCTGGGGCCTGGGAAACCAACCTGCCCTGTTTGCTGTTTGGGGTTTTCTGTTTCCCGTCGTTTCCTTTGGAAAAAGTCCAGCTTCCTCCCTGCTGGAAGAGCACTGTTCACGCCTGGGCCCGGATGCCCAGGGGAGCCATGTGGAGAGGTGACAAGAGCCTGGGGTTTGGAGTTTGGCCAACTGGGGTTTGAGTCCAGGGTCTGACCCTTTCAAGGCTGTGTGACCTCACACAAGTGACTTCATCCCTCTGAGGTGCTGTCTTCCTCAGAGGGTGCTAGATGTGGAGAGAGGGACTGAAACAAGAGAAGGTTGTGGATGCCTTTCTCCAGTGCTCAGGGTGGTTCTTGGGGGGGATTCCAGGCTTATAGCAGGATTACCCACACAAATGCCTCTGACAGAGTGTGGGAACCCAAAGGGAGTTTTGAATGGGTGGACAAGACATGTGATATGAGTGGATCAAACTCCAGAATACCAGCCCCCTGAGAGGGTGAGAGCCCCAAATCTCCCCCGATCATCCAGCAGAGGGAACCAACTTCTCCTGCAAAACCTCACAATTAAGTACAGGAAGGAAAACATGCTGTGTGATACCATTTAGATAAAGTTCAAACACAGCCAGAAAGAAGGTAGAGCCCAGGGAGAGCAAGCCGGTGAAGGCAGGCAGTGCTTTTGGGAAACCAGAGGCATCCTTGGTCTTAATCTAGGATTAGTGTCATGGGAGTGTCCCCTTTATAATTTCACGCTTTGTACACATTTCTATATGCACATTATAGTTCAATAAAAGTTCTATAATCAGTTCAAAGCAAACACATCGAGGCTGCAGGGCTGGGAGGAGAGAATGCTGGCATGGAATCTATGGAAAAGGGTACCTTCCAACTGTGCTTAAAAGTCCTGTCAAGGGCTGGAGAGATGGCTCAGAGGTTAAGAGCACTGACTGCTCTTCCAGAGGTCCTGAGTTCAATTCCCAGCAACCACATGGTGGCTCACAACCATCTACAGTTCAATCTGGTACCCTATTCCAGTATGTAGGTAGAACACTGTATATGTAATAAAGAAATAAAATCTTTAAAAAAAAAAGTCCTGTCAAGAAGGGCAGGACTCTAGCTTCCCTCCCTGCATAGCCTGGAGCTTTTTCCGAAGAGGACTGGCCAGTCAGCATGCCTCTCTGACCAGTATCTTCTCTCAGGCAGATCTACTGAGCTCACACAGGCAACAATGTTAACTCCTCAGACTCACCCTTTGCCATACTACCCAGCCAGGAGTGAAGACTGGGTGACACCGCCTTGTTCTGTTTCCAAAAAGGCCTTTCCAAAAACTAGCAAGTCACCAAGCTTGTCACTCAACCCTGATCACCCCATGGATCGGATCACACCCAATGGCTTCAGGCTCCACCGGCAGGTTCTCTGGGGCCCTGGGCAGGCCTCACTATCAGCAAGCTTCGAATTGCAAATTGGCAGGTCAGCAGTGGACCAGACCAGGCCACGCCCTCTGCTTGATGGATGTGGAGGTCCTGGCTTTTTTTATTTGCTGGTGCCTTGCCCTTTTCTCTTGCAAGGCCAACACACAGTGCACACATCTCCTTCGTCACACGGAGCAAGTGGCAGAGCCAAACAACCGCACATCATCAGATGCATTTATTTGCACAGACACTCATAAAAACTTTACTAGACACCAAATAATTACAGGAAGGGGCCAACCTCCAATTCGGCGGAGCCGCGGCGTTTTGAAGTGGATTTAAGATAGAGATCAAATAGGAGAGGCACCCGCCCTGGCTCACACCCACCCCCCCTTCACAAACCGTAGACCCTCAGGGTGGAGACCAATGAATTCCCTGGCTTTTGTGAATTTGTGTCCAATTCTGTGAGTTATTCTTGAGATCTTAATGAGGCTTTTATGGCTCCAAACACAGTCTTTTACCTTCTCTTTGTTCTGGCTCTTGTCCTGGGTTGGGGAGACCCTCGTTCTTAAAGACTGTATGCTGACAACCATCCATTTGGCAAGAAATGCAGAGATTCCTAAGGAAGATGCTTGGTGAAAGCAAACAAAACACGTGCATACACATCCCAATCCCTAAGAGGGGTTTCTGTGAAATGGGCTAAAAGATAAAATCCCAGAGCTCTTACTGTGAGTACTAGCTGCTCTCAGCCCCAGGTTTCATGACAAAATGAGTGGAGAAGGCTGAGCTGTCTGCTGGATGCCCAGGCTGGATGCCCAGCCAGACCTGTGGCCAGCACCTCAATTCCACCTGCCCCAGAGGGAAGGAAGACACTAGACAGGACAGCATTTGAGACAAGTCTGTTTTCCCTCGGGCTCTAAAGGAAGAAGAGGAGGAGGAGGAGGAGGAGGAGGAGGAGGAGGAGGAGGAGGAGAGTCCCCTGTGTCTACGCCACCTCCCATACAATTATACATCAAATAGTAAGTCTAGAGCCCAACAGTGAGCAGGGCTCACCGAGAGCATGTCCACATCACCCTCCCAGCAACCCTGTAAAATCGATGCCTTTTTTATGTCCATTGCTCAGATAGGGAAATTGGGGTAGAGGTGCAAGTCTCCCACCCTGTTTCCTAACCAGACCTTGCCATTCTGCGTCCTTAATCATTGCCTGGCCGGCGGAAGACCTGAGCTCTGGGTCACCCAGTCCTGGAGCCCTTCCCGAGGGCTGCCAGCAGCCTTTGGATCTGGGAGAGCCCGATTTCCTAACAGTCGGGACTAATGGCCAGGGTTGGTGGAAGGCTGAGGGTGTTGGCTGCGAATGCTCCTCTCTGGCTGTGGTACACACTGGTCACCGGCAAGTCCCCCAGCAACCCTCCCTCATCAGCCTCAAAAGCCCCCAGTGGAGAAAGAGAAAGCACCCCAGAGGTCCCTTCCCAGTCTCTCCTCTCTGGAGAACCTCCTAGTAGGCTTCCACCAGCACAGGAAGACCTCAGACGCCTTTCCCTAGGTGGTGGGAAGTGACTGTCCCATCCTTTGAGCCGTGTGTCCTGGTTTAAGTCCATCTGGGATGCTCAAAGATGTGCCTGGTGGCTCGGGAGTTGAAAACTGCCCGCCTTCGGCCTCTGCTGAGCCTTGGGCCCGCCTGGGCTCCACTTCCGGAGTCTGCGGCATCTTCAGCGGAGCAGCTCCGGATCCTGGACCATGGCTTGGGGCAGCTTTGATTCAGCGCGACCGAGTATCGTGGATCTTGAGGCTCCATTAGCCTGAGAGGGCAGCGTGGGGTGAGCCTAGGCTTCATGACCCCGGCTCCTGTGACAGAGCAAAAAGGCCGGTGCGGGATGTTTCTCATAGTCTCCTTAATGGTGCGCCCAAGGCTGCGCCTGACGCTCATCCTTGCTGGGATCTAAGACTGTGGCTGTGTTTCTAAACCTGGAGGGTCCTCTCTCTCTCCCCAACTCTGGTCAGAAACATGAAACGGTTGGGGTTTCACTGGTGTAGCCCTAACCACCTCCACCCCCACGCCCTGCGCGCGCGCTCGTACGAGGCGGGTCGCTACGGAAAAGGTTTGTGAGGTCCTAAACGAGAAGAGCCAGGAGCCTCGGGACAGGACTCAGGAGCTGCGCGCCTCTGGGAATAGGAAGAGCCCAGATCCCGTTTGTTTCTTGCAAGCTCAGCGGTGCTGGCAGCCTGCCTCCTCCGTCTTTGCCCAGGTGGAAACAGTCCTGAGCGGATTCTGTCGCAGACGTCTGAGGCAGCAAGCATCCCGCGTTGGACGGCGGCGGCGCGCAGTGGGGGGAGTGGGGAGTCTTGATCGGCCGGCTGCCTGCCGCCGGCCTTGTGAGTCTCAGAGCCGCTGGGGACAACGGCTCGGTACAGGAGCGAAGGCTGAGATCCCGCGGAGCCAGGAATCACTTGAGGCCGGCAGAGAGACATGAGCTCCGAGACTAGGCCGGTGTCCTTGTCCAGTCGTATTATTCTTCCGAAGAGTCAGAGGCTGGGAGGTCAAGAACCCTAAGGATGCTTCGGAGACACGCGGACGACTGCGCGCAGCTATGTGAGAAGGACCAGTGACAGTCAACTCTGGTTGATGGAGCGAGGACAAAGAACAAGGACCAAGGCCTACAGGTCGGGGGAGAATGGATGGGAGGAGAGAGGTGTGGACGAGGGACCAAGGTTGTGGGCACACAGCATCCTCGACCAGACTAGAGACGGAAGCCACCCAAGGAGCCATGGACAGTTCTGGCAGCCCGCCCCAGGCCGGCCCCCAAACGGAGTTGTGGCTTGGACAGGGGCAGGGGCACAGGGAGAGAGGTCAGTAACCTCTTCTCCAAATGGGGGCTACAGGTGTGCCCTCGGCGTTGAGACCTGGCTTCGAGCATTGCAAAACGCTCAGCAAACACAGTCAAAGACCCAGACACTGTCCTAGACGCTAGTCACAGAGTCAGGGAAACCTCAGAGGCCAGGCCACAGGGGCCTCCATTCAGCCAAAGAGAAGAGAGCGATGGAGTAGAAAGGACCAGACAACAGGGAGCGTGGGGAAAGGGCAGCACCAGGGTGGGGGTGGAACACTGCGCGGAGAGTTAAAGGTCCGGGTGAGTCTTTAGGTCTTGACACAGAGAAGATACTTGCAGCCTTAAGTCTGAGATGGCAAAGGTCCGGGCCAGGAACTAGAGCTTTTGCCTGCGGGTAGTGTGCCCAGCAGTGACTGCAAGGATACACTGTGGCCAGCAGAGGGCAGAGTGCACCCGATCCGCCCGATCCGCCCGCCGGCCCCGCGCGCCTCTCGGCTTTGTACGCCTTACCCGCCCGGCTTCTTCCCGCAGCTATGCGCCGGGCCCAGATATCCAGAGAAGGCAGCCCAGACCCAGGCCTAGGCCCAACCTCGGAGCTCAAGGCCTAAGATTTCCCACATTGGGCAAAGACAAGAGTACTAAGGGTGTGTGAAGAAAACTCTACATCCACATACCCATGCTCCTGGACACAGACACACAAAGGCGCCGAGAAATAGACAGAACACAAAGCCACAACACAAAACCTCTGGGCGACAAAAAAAAAAACAATTCAGGAACTTGGGGTCAAACGGAAACACGAAGGTAACTCGGAGACATATATTTAGAGAAAAATCTACCAAACACACTACGGGGGCCGAGACACACACAAAGGCATCCTCATAGTGACACAGACACAAGGACACATACAAAGACGTGCAAAAGCATGACACAGAAGCACGGGAAGGTCTGCAGATGTGCACAGAACGCGCAGACACTCGCAGCCTGGAAAGACACAAGGCCACACAAACACAAAATTGTTTGTGCTCAGGGACACGGGTGCACACGTACTCAATAGCATCAGAGTCGGGAGCGCCGATACGCACAGACACACTCGGATACCCACCGACGCACAGGCAGGTACTGGGGTGGGGCGGTGACCGCTAATCCTCCACAAAGCCGGGCCCCTCCGGGGGGCCCCCCCGAAGCACAGGGGGCCACTTCTGACCAAGCCTCCCGCAGGCTCCAAATCCGATCCGCCCTCTTGCCTCAAGCGGGGTCAGGGGACCCGCCCTCCGTGCCCTCCACCCCCGCTCGGCTCCGCGCCGCTGCTCCACTCCCGGAGGGGCCAGGGCCGCCCAGCAAAGGCTCACGGGGGCAGCCAGCTCCTGCCCTGGGGCCGCACCATCCCTCCTGCTATTCCAAGACGAAACACGCTCGCGGGAGTGGTGGGGCCGAAGGTGCCCAGTTCCCTGACGCGACGTCTTCTAGTTTCCTCCCGGGGGTGCCAGGAGGGATGCACACGGAGTCTCCAGCTGCGTGCTTCTGGCCTTGCTCTGCCCGGTGTGGAGACCCGCTTTGCCCAGGCTGGCCAGTGCTCCGTCTCGACCCCTGTCCAGGCCCCTTGACCACAGTGAGAGGGCACCTATTCAAGAAGTCACCCCGATTTCCTTGGAGCGGCCGTACCCGCGCGGTCCCTAGCCTCCATCCCTAGATCTTGGGGGCACCGTTTCTTACCTGCAGCTCATACTCCATGCCCTCGGAAGCTCAACCTTCTCCCACTGGCCCCGCCGGCGACCAAGACCCCCTTTCCAGTCCTGTTGATCCCCTTACACTCTCCTGTCCTCAACTCTGGCCTGACTGTCCTCGCCCACTCAACGTCTCCCATTCAGGATCTGGGGGCCCCTTCAGCTCACTCTCCTGCCCTGTTTCTGCCAGGCCAAGGTTTTTAGGACTCTTCATTCAAACTGCAGCCCTTCCGCCTCCGTCCCTAGGCCAGTGCTCTCTCTGGCGAGTCCAGGGCCAGCAGTTCTCGGCATTTGATGTACTCCATCCCTGGGTCCCGAGAGCCATCCCTCTCTGCATACCGAGCTGTCTGATGCAGGCGCTGCCTCACGGGGGGTGGGGTGGGGGACACCAACTCAGACCCTGCGACCTACCTTCGCCGACAAGTCTGGGTTTCGGTGCAGCTGTTCCCGCCTGGCGCAGTCCCCTGGAAGAGTCTCTGCGCTCCCCGCCGTCCGGACAGTCTGGCCTCACTCGGGGCCACTCCTCTCAGAGCTGGAGCTTTTTTTTTTTTTACAAAAATATTAATAATAAAAAAGGCAAGAAAGAAAAAAAAAGAAAGCCTGATTTCCCAAACTCCCAAATCAATTTTTCAAGAGGGGTGGGGCGCAGGGTTTGTTTCGATGGCTACCCAAACTTCTGCTAAGGATGGGCAGAATGGCTGGCTGGGGCCGGGGCGCGGTGCGGGGTGCAGGCCGGGGGCTCGGGGATCCCTCCCGCGGGGAGGGGGGGGCGGCGACGGCACTATTTGACGTGGAGCAGCCGGCTCATCCCGGCGCAGTGATACGAGGCGCACCAATGAGTTCAAATGTCAGGAAGTTTGAGGAGGGGTGAAGCGGCTCCCGGCCGGAGTATCCCTCCGCCACCAACCCCAGCTCTAAACCGAGAGGCTCCTTGGGCGCACCATGGCACTGGAGTAGTGCGGGGAGCGCGCCCGGAGCCCCGCGGCCCGCTGCGCCCCGCCCGGGACCCCGCTGCGCCTCCCGCACCCCCCAGCCCGCGGGGCCGCCCCTGCACCCCCGCCCCCTCCCCCGTCCGCCGCCGCCGCCGCCTCCTCCTCTCGGCGTCTCCGCGTGCCGCCAGCCGCAGCAGCCGGGACCCGGGACTGACAAGCAGGTGACAGGCGAGCTGCGGGCGCGCGTGGCTGCGAGTGGCCCGGAGAGCGCGGCGCGCGGGGCTGCCAGCCGCCCGGGCCCGCCCGCACGACGCCGGGGCCCGGGGCCAGCGCGCCGCTGCTCCAGGTTCGTCCGGGGGCAGCGGGCGGCCCCGACCCCGCGGGCACCTCGCCTACCCGGCTGCAGCGGAGCGGGCGGACGGGCGAGAGGGCGAGCGGCCCGGCCGGCAGGGTCTGCAGAACGCCCAGCGTCCCATGGATATAGCAACAGGTCCCGAGTCGCTGGAGAGGTGCTTCCCTCGCGGGCAGACGGACTGCGCCAAGATGTTGGACGGCATCAAGATGGAGGAGCACACCCTGCGCCCCGGGCCCGCCACCCTGGGGGTGCTGCTGGGTGAGTGCTGGGTCACAACGCTCGAGTAGTCCTGGTCAGGGGGTAGGGCCATCGTGCCGCTGTGGACACTGGCGTGAGAGCCAAAGGATAAAGAAAATGGGTTTGTAGTACGTGGGGAGGGGTCCGGATCCCTGGAAAGACCACCGGAGGGGCAACAAGCACACCTAGACAGGCTCCCCCGGAGGGACAACGTTCAGGGACATCACCCAGACAGAGGACCGAACAGCCACAGCCATCACGCACACCATCCTCAACGGGTCTGGGTTCCAGAACTGCTACTCTGGACGGGACTGGGTTGGGAAGCGGGTGGTAGGGATGATGGAGGACCAAGTTGTCACCTTAGAGCCCGGGAGAGGTGCCAGGTCATTTAGGGAAGGGGAACATCTAGAAGAAAAAAATATCCCCCGGTCTATCCACACCACGGGTCTTGGGGCAGAAGGCACGATCAGCATCGTGGGGCGTGTCAGGCAGCGAGTGCCCGAGCCTCACCTGGCTGGTTGGGTTTCAGCCGGCCACCCCGCGTGGAGCTCCTTCTCGTTGGATCTCCGCAGCCCGGGAGAGCACAGTGCCCAGCCAAGGCTGCAGGCCCTTGGCCTCTCTGCGCCCCAGCTTACGGACAGGGACGTGCTGTCTCTGGCTGCCCGGTCTCTGGCGCTGTGGCTGGGGTTCCTCCGGCGAAGGGTGGCGCTCCCGGACTGGGCCAGGCGGCGCTGACGGCCCGGCTCTCGCCCTGTGCGCTGCAGGCTCCGACTGCCCGCATCCTGCCGTCTGCGAGGGCTGCCAGCGGCCCATCTCCGACCGCTTCCTGATGCGAGTCAACGAGTCGTCCTGGCACGAGGAGTGTTTGCAGTGCGCGGCATGTCAGCAAGCCCTCACCACCAGCTGCTACTTCCGGGATCGGAAACTATACTGCAAACAAGACTACCAACAGTAAGCGCCTCTCGCCCTCCTCTCTTTCCCCGCCACGGACCAGCACTCCAGCCTGGCCGGTCCCTGCCGGGAAGGGCCCACGCCGCCCTGCGGCCGGCTCTGCGCTCCACTGGGCCCGGCAGCTCGGAGGGCGCATAGGGCTGAGTGTCTCCGAGCTGGGGCGGACTATCGTATCCCAGCCGACACTGGTGGGGTGGCCCCTAGGTTCCATCTGTTGTCCCGGAAACCTGCGCTGAGTGACTGAATTGGGGTACAAGACAAAACCCTGGGCAGACTGGTGGATATGATGCTTGTCCTGGGAAAGGGTTTGGCCCCACTAAGGCCTGAAGTGGGAACCAAGAATTTATTTTCCAAGAGAGGCATTGCTTTAGAGAGCCAAGCCTGACTGTGTGCTTCCCCAGTCCAAGAGCGGCTGGGATTCCTGGAGCAGGGAGGTGGTGGCTGAACCCCGGCTACAGAACAGGCTGGGAGATTTCCCACCCTGTCTGGTTCCTTGTTGCACTTTTATTCTCGATAAAGAGGAAAGGGTGTCCATCTTCCTAAACCCTTCCACACAGGAATTTGCTCTTACAACTTTTCTTAGCTGGAGAATCAATCTATCTAGGAAGCTGCCTCCTAGAGATCCTAGTTGGCGGACTGAAGGAGTCAGGCCTCCCCAGGCAGCCTCCTTTCTGGCAGAGTACTGGCAAAGAGTGGTGGATACTAGCGAAGTGTGCTGGGCCCTACCTGCTGGCTTCTGGGCTAAAGCTGGCAAGGTGGGTGTGTATGACTGGAGGCTGGGGACAGACCACAGCAGATGCAGGCTTTTTCTTATGACCTGGAAGTGCAATGGGGTTGGGGGGGCATTGAGAAGCTTCGGTGGGAAGAAAGGTGTGCAGATCTGGAAGTGGAGTTGCAGGGACAAGTGTGTGTGTGTGTGTGTGTGTGTGTGTGTGTGTGTGCCTGTGAGAGCTTGTAAGTGGTGCTCAGAAAGGTGTCTTTGATGGGGCTGCAGGGTGGATAGCCTGCTCAGGTGCTTTGGGCTAGTGGTCTGCCGCCGCGCCGAAGCCTTTGGAGAAAAAGGCAGGGCTGTGTGTGCCAAGTGGTCAGTGCAGCCAAAGTATTGTCACCAAATCCAGGGCCTAGTGTGAAGAGGGGCAGCCGGACTCTTTGATTGGGCCCTGGAGATGCTAAGACTTCAACCGGAGCCCAGCACAGGGCTTTGGTTGGTCAGTAGTGTGCCTAGGAACTGGGGAACTGGCAGAAACTGCTTTTTGCGCCTTGCTCTTTCTGGTGGCTGGAGTAGGGTGGCGTTTTCTATGGGCAAGAATTGGGGTGGGTTTCAAAGCCCTGTCCTTTTGTTGGTCCTATAACAAGGAGTAGGCCTGGCCCTCTGTACGGCTGTGCCCAGGTTGAGACACATTGTTGATGCCATGCGGTGTCTGTGCCCTTGATCTCTATCTAGTTCCTGGAGAAAAGGCCACACCAGTCTGTCCACCCACAGCTGTGCATACAGCAGCACAAATAAAATGGAGTAGCAATGGTTGGGAACCTGGAATGACTCAGGTAGCCCCTCTGTGGGATGTACTGAGCTCTGGGGGTACCACTGACCTCAGCAGCCTCACATACGCATTTTCTAAGAAGCCTGGGAAGGCAGAAATGGGCCTCTGAAACTTTGGGGTGGTTTTAATTTTTTTTTAATTTTAACACTGGAAAGACATTGCAACCTTTTGTACATAGTTGCCTCTGGGGTCATTATGGAACTTCTCCTAAAAGAGGACAAGGATGCCTCCCAGGTCCTTCTGGCATAACCACAAAATAGCAACACGGACCCGATTTTGCCTTAGAGAGATGTGTGACCAACCTCCCCACTTCACAAAGCGATTACACATTTGCAGCTTCTTTGTCCCACAGATGTTTGTTTTTGAAAGAGAAGAAAAACACCACCACACTACCTAGGTGCAAACACCGGTTCTGGGAAGGAATTTGGTTCCCAGGACTCCGGGCCCTGAGTTTGGGGTGTGCATCCCCAGAGGAAGCCTGGGAGAGAGGAGTCTGTCTTATCCTCTCCTCCCACCCTTCCCTCCTCCATCATCCTTCTTTCTAACAATAATGACAATTAAGTATCTGCTATAGGCGGACCTCCTAGTGTGCTTAGGCGGGGTAGTGGTTATCAACACAATCTTGGGGACAAATCCCCAGGGTCTCCTGGCAGCGGTTTTTCAGGGAGCAGAAGATCAGGCAGACTCCCTGAGAACTCACACGGAAACAATGTTCTTTTTACACAGTAAAAAAATATATTTTTATTCATGTTTTTTTCTTTGAGAATCCCACATGCATATTTATTTCATGTGTGCACAAATGCTTTTCAGACGAGAATTAAGGCAAATGGGTGCGGAGACGTACTTTCTCGATTTTGAGTGTGCCTCCCTGGCACTGGGAAATTTACAACACACACACACACACACACACACACACACAAACTTTTATAAAAGGCCCTCCTCCCCCGACTAAGCAGAATGGCAGAGTTGGTCCTTGTGAGGAGGTTGCTGGGGTTTTTGATGTGTCTTCTTCCTTTCGGTTTGTTCTCAACGACCGCAGGCACCCAAAAGCTCGAAGTTGTTTTACGCACCACAGGGGCGATTAATTGGCTATTGGGAACATTTAGGCCAATTGATAAAATCAACTCATAGGCCGGGCAGAGCAAGGGAAATGCGGGCGGCAGAACTTGGACGGTTTTTGTTTGTAACCTGAAAACTCTCCTTTTTTCCTGGCCTTATGTGCATTTCGGGGACTCCTTCAAAGAAGGGGGAGGGAAAATCCATGACCTCGGTCTCTTTCAAATGGAAAACTGGTTAGAAACCGGGAAAACACGCGGCCTCCGCAAAATCGTGAAAACGCTGTGTCTTCCACCAGAGAAACTATGAGGGAAAACAAAAACAAAAACAAAAAACCTGATAACCTCCCTCTCCAATATATGTTATTTTTTTTTTGGCAGTTTGGTGAAATCGAATTATGTAACTCCCTTCTCTTGCCGGCGGTAGCTCACTAGCTCCGAACGCTCGTCTGGAAAAGGTTTCTGTCCTAAGGAGGTGGTGGACTCCTGGAAGAGGCTCCGGAAGCGGGGAGGTTCGGTGGGAGAGTCCAAAAAAACTGTCACACAATGGAGTCTGAGGGCTTGTAGAGCAGCTCCGGGGTCTGGGGAATAGTAGGTGTGCGCGCCTGAGCCTTTGTGCTGGGGGATGCGGAGCTCCTGCCCGGAGCAAGATCTTCCACCCGCTTGTAAGGGGCCTGCCGGGGTGTCCAAGCCTCGGGTGCTGCGACCTTCCTGGTTTTACTGAAAATGCTGGGCATGCCTTGGGCTAGTCCTCCCAAGTAGGGTACCCAGTCCCCGCGGCCGAAATGGGCATCCATTATGACTTTGACAAAAAGCCTTCTGAGTCCTGGTTTTTTAAAACATTTCTCCCGGCTGGCTGCAGCCGCAAAGTGGCTCAACGCGGCTCTTCCCAGCACATTCTTTTCCTCGGAAGTGTTTACCCTGGCAAATGCTTTCCTGGATCGGGAGGCTCACCTCGGCCCGGCTTGTGTCAGTGTGGCATCTGTGGAGCAAACACAGGCTCCTGGTCCTTTCTCCCTTCTGGGTTTCGTTTCCCAGCTAGGAAGGAAGGTTTCGTCCTTAGGTGTACTGGGGTACCACTTACCATCAGCACCCACGTAACAGCGGCGGGAACCCCAGCCTGCAAGTCTCACCCGCTGTATCAGACTAATTGAGAATTGCAGACATTCCAGCCCACTGCCTGGAGTACCGGGTCTCTCCAGAAACCTGCTTAGAAAAAGCAGCCAATAAGTGGCCTTACTAAAAAGTCCTGGGGGTATTCTTTCTGGAGCCCCAACCGCTGAAGGGTTCCCGATGCCGGGGATCCCCGTCCCTTGGAGGGAGCCCGTATATTTAACCCAGCAGCTCCTCTGGGGGCTGGAGGTGAGGGAAAGCCTTCCTGTCATGCAGGCATCTGGGGCTGAAGGAAAGAAAGCATTATTCACTGCCCGACTCCTAGCTCCTGGCTCACCCTCTATTCCCAAGTCTCTGAGCTGCTGTGACCATATTTGTTTGCAGTGTTTTTCTCAAGGGGGGAAGGGGCTGTGAGGATCTTCTACACTGTGATATGTAATTGGAAGGTCCAGGCTTCTTGCTGCCCTCATGCCAACCTTAGAAACACAGAGCCAGCAGGTACCTACCTGACCCTCTGCTGTGTAACCAAGACCTGCCCACCTGAGAAAGTATTCTTATAGACTCTAGATTAGGTACCCAAAGGAGCTAGTGTCTTTGCCGATATGTTGTTACACTCTGGAAATTATTGCTGTCCTCAGGGTTGCAGTTGCAGGGAAAGTCTTGTCTCCAAAGATATTCTCCAGACTGCAGACAGGTTTCTCTCTAAACAGATCATCATTGTCCCCAGGGAAACCATTTCCCTTTTCCTGAGAGGACACTGTGAAGGTCCTGCCTCCCTCTGCTACAAAAGGAGCTTTAGACCCAGCCAGGTTCACCCCTCAGCCCCAGCACGCAGCTAAATGGTAGCCCACCCCCTCCTTGTCTCCACTGAGCATGATGACATCACCTTGCATGGTGGCTGCGAAGGTTCCAAGGGACACCTGGTAGAGTGGGTCTGTCAGTGTTTCATTCTGAAAGCATCTTTCAGCCCCTGCTCCACTGTTGGAGAAACTTCTGAGAGTGAGGATGGGAGCAGACGCCAGCAGTGTGTTAGCATTTTGGGCTAGCATGTGGCTCTGTTCCTCGTGGGAGCATGTGTCGGCCCAGAGAAGCAGCCTTTCCACTGGGGAAACAATGGGCATCCCCGGGGCCTGCATATTACTCCGAAAAGCATAGTCAATAATAGGATTTTATATTTGAAGAACAGTCCCAGCTTACAATTGTTGCAACTAAATGTCAGACAAGAAAGTTCTGATCTAGGGGGGACTTCACCCTGAAGGAGAACAGGCTTAATGGTGGCAGAGCATTCCAG